AAGGCTTCTTAAGGAGGGGCCTCACCACGGCCTCCTTTAAGGCCACGGGGAAGGCATGTGACTATAATGGAGTCTGCCCATTTTAATCGCTGGTCGCATTCGTTGTTAGGTGAAATGTAATTCTAATAACACACACACACACACACACACACATCATGCTTGCTTTCCCCAATGAAATGGAAAAAGGAATGTACAGGTCATTAAGTGGAGCCTAGGGAGCATTCTGGGTGGAGGACTCTGCTGGAGGCCTGGCACAGGCCCAGCCTCACCAGCCCTGCCCCTCCCATCCTCCCCCATCTTCTAGGGATGCCCCATGCTCCACTTCCCATGGACTTGGGTTCCCATGGGTCTTTTCCCGCTCCAGCCTTAGCACTGATTCCTACCCACCTGGTCAAACACCTTCCTCCTCTTCATTTACTTTTTGAAGAAGTCCATCTGCATGCTGGGATTCCCAAAGCGGAAGCCATTTTGTCTTGTCCACAAAATGGCAGCCGTTTCCTTTTGCTGTCTTAAAAAAGCTCTGCATGGTGCTGCAGAAACTTTTGGCCGTGTTCAGAGGCTTCTTCAGCACCACGGAGACCTCTCCAAGGCAGCAAAAGGCAGAGGCTTTTTTTTTTGTCTGTCAGCCTCCATTTTATCCCATCCCTGTCCCACAAAATGGCGGCCACATTTCGATGGCTGCAACAATTAATCCCCTGATTAATTGCTCTAACGATCAGGCAATTTCTCCTTAGTTCTAGCTTGATTCACTCCTTGGATTAGTTTCCATCCATTGCTTCTTGTCCTGCCTTCAGGTGTTTTGGAGAATAGCTTGACTCCCTCTTCTTTGTGGCCACCCCTCAGATCCTGGAAGGCTGCTATCATGTCCCCCCTAGTCTTCCTTTTCATTAAAGTGGACATTCCCAATTCCAGCAACCGTTCCTTATATGTTTTGAAGGATCTAAGCAAGGCTTCCAAATTTCTTGACAGCTTTGACCTTGGAAGGAAAGATCGTCATTGCTGGAGATAAGCTGTTTGCCTCTACTGGAAAGGCATCTGCCTTTGAGACAGCGGACTTGTCTTGCCAAGAAGCCCAGGGCGCCATTGCTGCACCAAGAAACCTGAAAGAGAACAAAGCTATTCAGAAGATTGTGCAATTTTATAACAGTTCTGCCTATCTGGGTATTATTGCAAATGATGTGCTAGGGACATTCCATTTCCAGAATGGGGATTCTTTGGATTTTACCAACTGGTACGAGAATGAACCTTCTGGTCCAGAAATTGAAAAATGTGTGGAAATGTACAGCGATGGCACTTGGAATGACAAAATATGCAACGATTACCGCCTTGTGGTCTGTCAGTTTTAAAACCCAACCACCAAGACAACCCAAGGCAACCATTGAATGTTCCTTAAAACATAACTTGATGTGATTTTTCTATCAAAAAAATAATAATAAAAAAAATCCTAGCATTTTCTTTGCTTTCGTTTCATCTCCTGCGCTCAAAAGACAAATCTATTCTGAAAGGATTGCATGTTCGTAAACAGAAAACCTAAGAATAGAATAGAATAGAACAGAACAGAATAGAATAGAATAGAATAGAATAGAATAGAATAAAATAGAATAGAATAGAAGACAGAAGACAGAAGACAATAGAATAGAAAATAGAATAGAATAGAATAGAATAGAATAGAATAGAATAGAATAGGAGAATACAGAAAAGAAGACAAAATAGAACAGAACAAAACAGAATAGAATAGAATAGAATAGAATAACAGAGTTGGAAGGGACCTTAGAGGTCATCTAGTCCAACCCCCTGTTCAGGCAGGAGATCCTCTACCATTTCAGAGAAAGGGTTGTCCAATCCCTTCTTTAAAATGTCTAGTGTTGGAGCATTCACAGCTTCTAGAGGCAACTGGTTCCACTGACTAATTGTTCTAACTTCAGGATGAGGGTTAAAATGTCATAAGGACCATGAAAATAAATTAAGGAAGAAATAGACTTTGTGGTCACTGTCATCTCCAAAAGGGAAAATAATATCCAGCTAGGATAGAGATGTGGGGTTGTACATGGAGTCCCCGACTTACAACAATTCATTTAATGACCGTTTCAAGTTACAACAGCACTGGAAAAAAAAGTGCCTTATGTCCATTTTTTACACTTACGACCACAGCAGCATCCCCATCATCATGTGACCAAAATTCAGACGCTTGGCAACTGACTCCCATTTATGACAGTCGCAGTGTCCCCCTGGGGTCACGTGATCCACTTTTGTGACCTTCTGACAAGTCATGTTCCCTTAACAACCATGTTACTAACGTAATACCTGCAGCGCTTCACTTAATAGCAGTGGAAAGAAAATTTGCAAAATGGGGCAAAGCTGTCTCACGTAGCAACAGAAATTTTGGACTCAATTGTAAAGTAGTAAAGTCGAGGACTACCTAAAGGCAGTGGGTGAAAAAGTAAGGGTTCAATTTTAAAAGGAAGACTAGGGAAGGACGAAAGAGTTTTCTAGTTGAAGAGTGAGCAAAATCCAAAAACGTGGGATAAAACCAGAGTCCAGATATTTACCCAGATTATCACATTATTTTCTCTGGATTTTGTTGTTGTTGTTATTGTTGTTAATTGCGAAGTCGTATCCGACTCATCACGACCCCATGAGCAATGTTCCTCCAGGCCTTCCTGTCCTCCACCATCTTCTGGAGTCCATTGAAGCTCACGCCTACTACTTCAGTGACTCCATCCAGCCACCTCGTTCTCTGTTGTCCCCTTCTTCTATTGCCCTCAATCTTTCCCAGCATTAGGCCCTTCTCCAGTAAGTCCTTCCTTCTCATTAGGTGGCCAAAGTACTTGAGTTTCAACTTCAGGATCTGGCCTTCTAAAGAGCAGTCGGGGTTGATCTGGAGCTAATTCTCTCTCTTCCAGGCAATATCCAAAGATACCAAATGTTGGGTATCAATTGCACACCTCTTAACACCTCACTTCAGACGGGATCTCCCAGTGCTTTCATGTAGATGCTTAACACCTTGAGAGACAGGATGAAACCCTGAAACACAAAGGATCAAGAGTAATAGGTTCAGTCCGAGAATTATTCCTCACTGATTAAAAAAAAAATTGACATTATCCAAACCAGGAACTGATGTAATTTCCCTGCTTTCACAAACATTTGAAAAAGCTGAAGGAAGGCAAAACTTTTGCTGTCTTAAGGTGTTTAAATGTAAGTATTTCCTTGGAAAGTAGGGTACTTATTAGAAATGTTTAGCTGTAACAGTTCTGGGAAAATTCAGTATGGTTGTAAGTAAGCAAGGGGGGACCATGGGCTCTACCATTTTTTCTCCTCTATATTAATGGATACGGCATCTTGTTAATGTAACAAAATAAGAAGAATTGGAAGTGACTTTGGAGATCTTCTAGTCCAGCCCCCTGCTCAAGCAAGAGTCCCTACACAATTCTAGACAAATGGTTGTCCAATCTCTTCTTGAAAATAATAACAATAACAGAGTTGGAAGAACCTTGGAGGTCTTCTAGTCCAACTCCCTGCTCAGGCAGGAAACCTTATACCATTTCAGACAAATTGTTGTCCAATCTATTCTTAAAAACTTCCATTGCTGGAACATTCACAACTTCTGGAGGCAGGTTGTTCCACTGATTAATTGTTCTCACTGTCAGGGAATTTCTCCTTAGTTCTAGCTTGCTTCTCTCTTTGATTAGGTTCCATCCGTTGCTTCTTGTCCTGCCTTCAGGTGCTTTGGGGAATAGTTTGACTCCCTCTTCTTTGTGGCAACCCCTCAAATATTGGAAGAATAGCAGAATAACAGAGTTGGAAGGGGCCTTGGAGGTCTTCTAGTCCAACCCCCTGTTCAAGCAAGAGTCCTTATACCATTCTGGACAAACGGTTGTGCAATCTCTTCTTGAAAACCTCAAATGATGGAGCACCCACAATATCTGAAGGCAAACTGTTCCAATGATTATTTGTTCTGTCAGGACATTTCTCCTTAGTTCCAGTTTGCTTCTCTCCTTGGTTAGTTTCCATCCATTGCTTCTTATCTTGCCTTCTGGGACTTTGGAAGATAAGTTGACCCAGTGGTGGGATTCAGCTGGCTTGCACCGGTTCGGTAGAACCGGTAGCTAATTTTTTGTTGACTTCATCAAACTGGCTGAAGCCCTAGCC